ACGCTATCCCACCGCTGCCATCCAGTTGTTGCGACGCCGGGGTCCCGCGGGTCTCAGTTTGGTAGCGGGCCTCCGTCCTGGGACCCATCGTCGAACAAGTCAGATGAGGCGCCCGTAAAAACATTTTATTTACATGGTTGGTTAGTAACTGAGAATTCGAAGAGATGATCAAGTGATCAAGTAGAAGTCAAGAAATGTACATGAGAACTGTTGAACTGTAGAACTTCAAATACACGAGTCTTCGACTTATATAGCGCCTCGTTGCCAACCCTGGGCGCATTGTCCGCGGCTTCCGCCAATAGGGCGCTCCATGGTCTAGGTGCTCCACCCACGAAGGAGAGGAAAGACACCACACAATGCATGCGGAGAGGGCACAGTCTACACGATGTGCAAATATGGTCACAAACGTACTGAACGGACGTTTTCGCACACATCACCAAGTTTCGCGCACGTCCGATGATATTGGTTTTCAAGATCCTTCTGGCAGTTGGGTGAAGTTCAAAAAACCGGCTGCCAGTACACGTGTCAAACTTGCCTGACTGTTTGGGTAGGACATTGTAGTGGTGTGCCAGCATATCGTCAAAATATGCCACCTCATTCAGCCGATCTTATGGAGAAAGGGGGAAGGAACAGGGGTCGACTAATCCCTCGTCGTCGAGGTGGGCTCCCGCAAGGGCTACAGCAGATAGTGCCCTTTCCTTTCCTTCCACCCCACATTCCATTCCTGGTTGTTTGCTAGAAGCTGTGCCTTAGCTGCGCATATCCGGGCCTCCGCTTCACCTCACAAGTGCAGCCACAACCAGTTTGGCCTTAGCTTTCAGCTTGAACTGCAAATACCATGCTGGTTCCGAGATTTCTCCTCGGTGACCTCTAAAATGTCCCAGCTGCCTCCTTGTCTGCCTCAAAAGCCTTGCTCGCAGCAAACACAACGGCCTTTCTTGAGTCGAGCTCACAATGTCCTCTCTTGGCTCGTGCGTTTTCTTTGCGCGAACCCGTCCCGAACCCCTTGTTCAGGTTTTGCTGAGAAGAAATCAACCCGTCTTGACGGCACACTTGACGGCACACCCTTGCTTGGAATGCGTCGAAATATTTTCGTCCCGTTCACAAAGGCCGAAAAACTTCAATAATGATGACGGTCGTAACTCTGTGTAGTCTGTGTGCTTCTTTAGTAGAAATTGAACAGTCAATACCAGCTATGAATTTTTTGCTCTCTTCGGTCTTATTTCGTTTCAGTGAAAGTGTTTTATATGGCCAAAGATCATTTTAACTTTAGAGCCAGGGTTCCTAGCAGTCCTTGAAACCCTTGAAAACTCTTGAATTTCAAAATGGCATTTTCAAGGCCTTCAAAACCTTTAAAGTTGTTTGAAGTCCTTAAATTTCTTTGCATTTTGTCAACAGAAGTTTCTTAAGCCATAATTTAGTGGATTGTTTTTCTTGCCTGGCAACTACGTGCTCTCAAACCAACAAACCATTCAATCCAATCCATTTCTCTAGCCATAGCGCAGTCATAGTACAGTGTACTAGAAGGGGAAGTGTGCCGTACGGCGCCGGAAAGAGGGTCTTCCTAGCGATGACCGCTCCGCGCGCGACTAGAGGACGCTGCTGGCTAAAGGAGCGCTACGCTCGCTGTCGCAATGGCTCTGTGAGCGGGCTGTGTGGCCGATTTGTGTGTTGTTCTGAGTTGTCGTCGCGGCTTTTTATGCGATAAATGCCACTTAATGGTGAAATTCAGCTCTTTCGCATAGGCATTAGTCATTCTCTCGCTATAACGAGCGTACACAAAAACACCCTACTACGTTTCGGTGAGGTCGTTTACACCAGCCAAACTTGTTTCTTTCCGAAATTACTAAACTTTATGTAGTAGTGATGTACTTTCAAATAGTATTGGGTGAATTTCAACATATCAAGTTATAGAGCTTAAAAATCTATTTTTTTGCATACAAGTGTCTGTGTTCGGTCCTTAGTCTTTTAATTATGTTTTTTATATTGCTTCGCATACTAAACGGTCGGCAAGCGTCAATCGAAGACCTCTGATTTTTTCACATACTGCTACTTCAGATAACTTCTCATTGCTTTCACTCGGCTCAATCTTATTTTTGTGCTGCTAAGTGTGGCTTTTGTTCTCCAAAGGTCATGTTGTATATTATTGCAAAGACTGTTTTGTAAACATCTTCTGGCATCGTCTTCTGGAAAGATGGTTCAGTATCAGCTTTCTCTAATATTTGCAGTGAGCACAAGCACTGAGGTCATTTACTACAAGCATGCAGTTATTCGAAGAGAACACCCCAATAAACGACGGGCATTTACTAGCTAAAGGCTTCATTCCCATGCCGGGACACAAAGTCAATTTGCTCACATTCTTTATCAGCAACTCTGCTCCTTCTCATGCTACGAGTTCCTCCTGGCGCCACTTTTTTCCTCTTATGAGAACTTCAGCAGTTGCAGCACTTTCAGCGCCTTGCTTCTTGATCTGAATCAGCTTTTTTTTAATGCTACCTTGCTATGTTCAGCAGCATTGGCTTCCAACTTGGCATAAAGAAATGAGTCCGCAACACGGCAGGAAAATTTCTGACCACTCATTTGGAATCGTGAGCTTTGAAAATGACAGCCCTTGAAATTCTTGGTCACTAGCTTTTTCACTGGTACCATCTCCGCCAACATCATTCGACATTCTTTGGCATTCCTGTTCAGGAACATCTTCGACTGAACTGCCTTGATCAACGTCGTTCGACTCAACTTCTGACAACGTGTTGCTCTCACGTCTTCGCTTCGGTTTGGGGAGAATCTGATAGCTAAGGTTGCGATCCTTCTGTTTTTTTCGCCAGCGATTTTAAAAGTTACTTGGGAGCATCAGGAAAAATTGTAGGAATGGTGTCAGGTGTCTGGGAATCTCAATAACCTTACCATCGATAGTCATCTTGAAAGTTCTCTGTACGAACCTTGCTTTGATGTGTCGCTCACAAACAGCGCTGCTCTTGTCCAGGACTCGATCAGCTCTCGTGATGTTGCGCGACCATTCTTCTCAGCAGTCAGCTTCAACGGCACCCGAAATAAGGAGTGTGCCTATTTACACGAGCTGTAGCCGCTGTTACAATTTAGCACAAAGCAAAAGCAGTCTGGCTTATTACGCTGTCTCCCAGCTATTTCTTCTCATTCCAGTTGACAAGTGCAAACACCACCGTAACTTCTTCACTCATCTACAGCACAATCTGGCGAGGAGCAGAGTTATTCAATGCGAAAAATACAGGCAACGAGGAACTACTCACGCGTAAACGGCCACACTGACAGCGCAACATGTGTTGACACATGCGCTCCTCTGGCTCGCATCTTTCTCTAGCGCCCCCAGGCTGTACTCAACCTGCTTGATCGCTGCGGGGGCCCCCTCGCCTCCATTGGAACGCGCCGTGCACAGCACACTTCCCCTTCTAGTACACTGTAGTCATAGTGCGACCACTCAGTGATGCATACCTCGCGGTCACGGGTCTCCTATAGAGCGCAGCGCCCCCTGGTCCCCAGCACATGAACGAGTGGCACGCACATGGCCGTGCCACTGGTTCATGCGCTTGGGGGCAAGGGGCGCCACGATCTATCGGAGCACCGTGACCACGGAGCATGCATCATCAGTGCGGACACGACAGAGAGCGGAAACGGCAGACTTGCCAGTATATTCTAGGGGACCATAGTTGTAGTACAGTGTAGTTGTAGTAGCGCTTGTGTGGTTACAGCAGCAATGGAGCTAAGTCTGGCTTTTTTGTGGAGACTGTGCAAGTGTGTGCGGATATCCTCAGTCGCGTCGCTTATGGTGAAACTATGCCAGGCAAGTGCAAATTCCAGCTGTCTTGGTCATGCATTGCTGTTTATAGGGAGTAGATAGCACCGGATACATTAAACTCTTATCAGGCAAAGTGTTCTCATGTAAGAAAAGCTTCGACTTGTCATCAATGGGGGAGTGTGCCCTTAAAGGGGCCCTGAAACACTTTTTGAGCATGGTCAGCAAAGGCTGCCAATCGGTAGTAGAGGCTCCCGACAACACACGAGCCAAATATTATAGCACAGCATGCAGCCTGGAATTCACAATAAATTATCAATGTCAGCTATAAATTGTCAGCTATAAATTACTCAATATGCCCCAAAATCACACGTAGTAAGCCCGTCTATCAGCCATTGGCTGATATGAACATGGCACACTCGCTCGTTACACAGATCACCGCGAGAGGCCACTACTTGTCCACGCGTGCGCGCGCGATCACACTGAAAAAGTTGCGCATTCAAAGGGGGGAAAGGGGGGGGGGGGGGGGCTCAAGGTCACGAGGCGTGCGAGGTGTTTTTCTGTGGCCCTGTCATCCTTCCTTGCTTAGCTTCCAGCGCTTTCGTCAAGATGAGACAAGAGAGAATGCAATTGCAGCATGCGACAAACCTTTGTAACTCCCCTTGCACTGGACGGATTCTTAAAATTTTTGCGGTGTTGAATTCGTAAGGCAATAAGCTCTTTCAGTGAATTCATTCTATGGTAACTTGAAAAAGTGTTTCAGGGTCCCTTTAAGTCACATGAAGAGTACGAAACACATTGAGAACACAAAAGCGACAACAGTCCATGGTAACTTGAGTGCGTTCATGGTGCCAACCATACAAATAAAGTAAAGTAAAAATTTTTATGCTGTAAAAAGTGGTGTTGTCATTTTCTGCGGTTTCAAATGTTACTTTATGTCCTTGGAAAGTATTTGTTAGGTCTTTAAAAGTCCTTGAATACCTTTGAATTTTGTTTCACGTAAGTGCTATGAACTCTGATTATTAGACTGGTGCCCTCTTTTGAGGGCAGCAAATTTCTATATATTAAAATAGCTTTTGCAGTCATGATACATTGCATTATTTTTTTTTCTATTCGCATTCACTTTTAAAAAAAGTTATTTGTGTATAGATCATGATGTGCTCACATTTATTGAACTGTATGAAGCAGCCGCATCAAAGGCTGATTACTGTCCTTTACTGTTTCTGTGCAGGTCAATGTATATTTTCGGTGGTTTTAATGGCCAGATGCTGACAAGTATTGTGAAATATACACCAGGTATGTTTGTTGAGGCTGCTGTGATGTTCTTGCAAGATGTAGACGTGTTGCAACTACTAGTTCAATGCTGAATAGCACCTTCTCAGAGCCAGTCTTATTTCAACCTCACAGGGTCATGCCGAAGTTTCTCCACTCCCGAAAAGTGCATTACATCTGCAACTGGCATCAAGTGTGCTTGGAACCCAGACAAAAAGGCCTGCCAGGCGTTTCATCTCTTCAATGCCACCAAGGGTATCCACACATGTCCCCGAAAGTCAGGTAGAGTTTTTTCGTGTACTCAGTGAAACGTAAGCACAGTCTTCTATACATACCCTACTTTCTCTTTTTGGCTTGACTTTGACTGTACATGGGCCCATAGCTTCTCAATGGGATGCTAAATCAAACAGCCACACTAAGTCAATTTAGATTTGTAAAGCATTTTTGTAAGACTCCACTTACATTTACGTCAGACACTTTAAATTGAACTTGAAGGGGCCAAGAAAATATGTTCCTTTAACAGAAGTTCTGTTTATTGAGAGATATAGAGGAGTGCAGAATGGTAGTGCAAAATCAGCCATATTTCAAGCAGTTGTTTCATTTGAGCAGCTAGTTCATTTACAAGATTTCTGTTCAGCGGTATTTGCTTAAAAAAAGATATTTACTCATACAGAAGTGTAAAAAAGTTTTTTTTTTTTGCAAAAATACTACATCTTGGCTCATTATGTACAATCCTTGGTTCTTTTAAGATGCTGTGCAATGCTTATTAGTTTATAAACTTTTAATTAGGGTCTAAAAAAGATGTCATCACAATAAACGACATCACCTAAAGCTAGGGCAAAAACTTCAAGGTGGTGTATTTTACATGTTTACTTATTCTCGTTGATGAAGCGCCATCTTGCAAAAAGACTAACTCTTTATCTTATGTCACATCTTCAGGAACAACCGTTAATCTGACTTGACTCATTCTGGTACCTCGCCTGTTAAAAATGAACACTGGTGGTTGACTTTAGTCACTAGTTCCTTCATACTGAAGCCATTTCTCAGCTACACAGTATTAGTAAATATATAGGCCAGGAAAAGAGCTTCCATAAACACTTCCAGTTCCATTCCTGCAGCAATATTTATTTTTGACGCATGATTTGGTATTCTGTATTTATTTGTGTTCAGCTGCTCTCTTTTATAATCTCAGTGTGGTATTTACAACTGCAACTACATTTGTTTCTTGTTGTCACATTATGCTTATGCTTCATTTCACATGACTGTCTAGGATACAGGCTATGCAGCATGTAAGATCAGCCGAGTATGGATGAAACGCTTTTGTATCCCTCTTATTGCAGCCATTGTTTTGGTTTCATCCTGATGTACACTATCTGGCTTGCTGTGTTGTTCCTGGCCTTTGGTAAAACTCGATAACAACTTTTTTCCCAGCGGCCAACCTGACTGTGCTATGTGAAAAGCAGACTTCATGTCCAAGCTGTTTGCAGAATAACTATGGTTGCGTGTGGTGTGGCACTGTATGTGCTCACAAGCGCTGTCCTAAAGGATCTAAGGTTGGTAGAAACCCTGCTCTTGTTACTATGACCATATGTTAGTGTATTGAACATTGCACAAATGAATTATATTATCGGTAGTACAACACATTCAAGGCCTTCTAGTGAGAGAAATGTTGTTTCCAGGGCTTAGCTGATGCAAGAGAGAACCAGACTGATGTGGAACAATGCCAGCAATCTGAAAGCAGCAATTGTGACAAGCTTCATAACTGCCATGCTTGTCACACCGAATTTCATTGTGGCTGGCAGAATGATCATCGTTGCTACACATTTGTTCGTGACTCTGGTAATGTATTTTCTTGCTTTCTTTGCTATGCTGTCATAGATTCTGTTACAATGAAAAGCAGTATGATTGTTATTTACTCGATCTTTGCCAGTAACTTATGGGCAGAGCACTAGGAATATAGACGGTTACGCCAGAGCCTGCCAGTCTCTAACAACATTGTGAGTTCACCGAAAACCACCCCTGGAAACTTCTGGTTTTGCTTGTTTTTGTGTGGTTTTAGTGTTTGTTGCTGGCCGCGGCTGCTTGTGTTTCAATGTTTCATGCGGATAAAATTATTCCGATGAAGTGCAGGCAACTCGAGCACAGCTGTGTCAAGCCAGGATGCAGTCTACATGTCTAAATTAATTTTATATGCTAGTCAAAATGCTCTGTTTTCCGACCAATGACGATAGAAAGAGCACCTGCATTGTAGGGCTCACACGAGACAATTGGATTCCTAAGAGCGCGTAGGTTTGTTCTGCATTCCATCAAAGGCAATGTAAAGCTCAGCACAGACTGATGGCACAGAAGCGATACTCACACGTTAGACTATAGTCGAAGGCTCCCGGTTACTGGGAACACACCATGCAGTCTTTGCCGTGTTCCTCCCGTGGCACATAAGTGTACTGTCGCCTGAAATGGGCAGCAAAACGTGAAAGCTAACATTGAAAATCCATTGCAAAGGTGTTCATTTTATAGTTTGAGCGATATCAAGTATGTGCACTGTTCGAAACAATACGGGACGCAAAGTACCCGCGCTTAACATGAATCGCCGCACAGTGTACGCTGTGGTGTGCACGTTTCGTTCTCTTTGCACTTGATTTTTTTTTTTTTTTTTTTGAGGGCAACTCCGGCGAGTGGGCTCTTATCTGTGCGAGCAAATGACTCATCACCAGTCTTTCTGCTGCTAATCAACATCACCGCATTCTGGCTAATATATCTTTTGGATGTGAACATGGACTGTATTATAGTTAAATTCAACTTGAAAGTTTGATTCATGAATAGCTTACTCATGTGTAAACCATAACAGTTCGCGTGACCCTGCAGTCGCAGTTGACGTCATCACATTAGCACCTTTTATAACTTCTCAGTCACATGAAGAGTTCGAATCACGAGCGATTCCGATCGCGCTGATCTGTTCAAAAAGTGCCCGGTGTGACAGGCGTGGAAATAAGCGTTTTATCCTGAGGTTGTATGCTTAGACGAAAACACAAATATGTTCGGGGTTCAACAATAAGAAGGTTTCCAGTTCTAGTCGAAAAGCTGGATTCAACAACTTCACAATGAATCGAGCGACCCTTCTTCCGCATGTCAACGATGTGAGTGCGCTTTGAAGATGCAGACAGGGAAAAGACAGGTGTGCGCTGTCATTTCCAGGTCCGCGTTTTCAAAGCGCATCCACATTGTTGCCATGCAGAACGAACTGGCCCAATTAAGTTCGCTGACAAACTTCTCCTGCAGTTTGTGCATTTTCTGTTTGTATAAAGGCGCGATCACTATCAGAGGCAACATGGAGCAGGGGGCCGCACTCATCGGAACGCCACGACAGATATTTTGCGCGCCGCCCATCGACCACGCGAGCAGTGAGCACCTTTATATAGTTGATAGATGTTGCTGCAAACACATCTTAAGGAATGCGCCAGAAACTACAGAGCCGCAAACTGAAACACACCACGAAAACACCGCCGGAACCATTGAAAAAGTATTGCCGGAAGTGCCGTACCGGAAGTTTGCTGGGATAGGCCGTTCGGCGCGAGCCAGTTTGTTTACAAGCACCGAAATCGTCTACACACTTGTACGCTGTTAAATTACTGTACCAGATGTTCGATCTCCAACTTATGGCACCATTTAGATATTAGACTTGCATACAGCAGGAAAAAAAATCGTGACAAGGATAACAGTGTCTGCTGGTGCATTTCAGGTTCAAGGGCATTGCATTACGCATTGTTATTGATTTAGTTGCTGTTGTCCTTGTCGTCTGGAATCAACTTGATCTTGCCTTAACTCTTCTACAGAGCTTGTTGCTGAGCTAATTGGTTCATTACTTGAGATAAATAAGTATGGGTGCAAAAAAGGACGGGACAAAGTGAAGACACGAACTGACGAACATGGATGTCATGGCACCCTTATTACAACAAAATGTGTTAGTATAACAAAGTAGCTACAGTGCAACTAACCTTTAAATCGCCCATAAAAATAAGTGTATTCAAAGCCTAATCTTAGCCAAGTACAGTTGTCATGTTAATGAATATAAAGAACCAAATTCTTCCCAAAAACCAAGGAATTTCTCAACTTCTCTGCCATATTAGATCATGATTTTTTATTGTGGTACTACCAATGCCAACACAATGTATAGCTGCACAAGATCTGGGTGCGGTGTATTTGTTGCATTCAACTCCTCTTTAAACCTTATTAAGTGAGGTTTACCTGTGTACACCTACAATAGAGCAGTCACTTCAAAATTAATGTAATATTAAATAATTACAGACCTTCAAAAAACTGTATCCGCTTTTCTTTGTACATTTCTTTTGTTGTTGTTTTTTCTCTCCCAAGTGTCTCCTTCAAATGAAATTATTGTTTTTGGTATTATGAAGTGGTAATTTACTAATCATCATCAGCCTGACTGCGCCCACGGCAGAGCAAAGGCCTCTCCCATGTTCCGCCATTCAACCTGGTTATGTGCTTTCTGATGGCACATTCTGGTGGCAGACTAGTCGTGTAACCGTCTAGGCATAGAAGAGCACGTTGTGATGGGTTGCGAGACACTGGAAGTGGTAAAGCAATAAGTCTACTGAGGACAGGTAGTAATCGTGGAGCCAAACCATCAGAATGAAATAACGAAAAGAATGAGTGGAGGGGAGCATATTCAGCAAGCATTTCAAGTCATAAATGGTAGTCTACCATTCATTAATCCTCAAGAGGAAGGCATATAACGACTGCATCTTACCGGTACTTCCCTATGGAGCAGAAACCTGGAGGCCTACAAAGAGGGTTCAGAAGAGGTAAGTTTAGGATGACACAGCAAGTGATAGAAATGAAAATTTTAGTTGTAGTTTACTAATAGTACTAGACAAATTCTTTTTCTCTTTACTGTCTGTTTAAGGCTTTTCTCTTTCTGTCTCTTTCTAATTTGTAGCCTAACCATCTGGGTTGGGTAATTGGGTGGTTTCATAGTGTGGTACAGACATTTAAAGGAGGACATCAGAGGAAGTGTTAGACAGAGATTGTAGATCAGGCTAACAAACGTTGCTATTGTGAACTCTGCCTGTTTTCAGGTATGCATAGTTAACATCTATTAGAGCTGCTAGTATCATCATGCTACTAGCAGTTCCATCATGGCTGAAGTTATCAAGACTGCGGTACCCTCATTTAAAAAGGGCAAAATGCAGAAACTCATGGCATAGCTCATAGTACACTGTGCATCTTTGAGACATCAGACTACAAAATTGAGGTCTCACGCTTGCCAGTATGAGCTTTGCCAGGGAGATACAACAGCACATGTCCTTTTTGTTATGGTATTTTTATTTTTTTCTTTACCAGCATGTGACACTAAGTATGTGTACCTCTTGTCCAGGTAACAAGACAGAAAAGGCAGTGCTATCGGACAACTACAGAGTCAAGTGTGATAACTCGTGCAGTTCACGAACAACATGCAAGGCCTGTTTGTTAGGCAGCTGTATGTGGTGCATCAGCCAGCAACGATGTCTTGAAACCAATGCATATGCTGCTACCTTTCCCCTGGCCCAGTGTACTGAATGGACAACCACCAAATGCTCAGGTCCGGTCAACCTTCCAGCCATTGCGAAATTTCACTTGTATTGCATACTTTCACGAGTTGGCTTCTTGCAGTTTCAAGAAAGTAAAATGACATACAGTGTGGCACGATGTAATACTGAAGAGGCACCCAAAAATGTATTGCTGTAACTACTGATGCACAGTGCCACTTTGACTTTCTTTTTGTGTATGAGAACATACAGTATTACAAAGGAAAGCTTTCTTTTTAAATGTTAACTTTATACCTAGCACAAACATTATTTTTGTTTTTGGCAAAGTTATTCTTCATCAGCCCCATATACTTATTTTGTTTTATACCTTAAAAGAAAAATGGAATGTGCATATTGAGTGAAAAATTACATCATATTGAAAACAATATGAATGGGGACTAACAGACAATGATGCCAATGACAAGAAAATTATGCTCTTTTCTTGACATAATTATCTGTTAGTTCTCATTAATATTGTGTCTAACAAAAAAAAAGCGGGTCTTTAAGTTTCACTTCTTTCGACCATATTGAATAGCATCATGTTGAACCTAAAGTGTGTAGAGCTTTGAACAAAAAGGCAAATCTGTTGAAAGGCCCACTTTTGTTGTACACAACCATATACGTATACAGGAAATAGATAGTGAAGCTAGGAAAAGCTTATTGATTGAAATTGAGTTCTTAGTTGAAGACATGTGCATCAGCAGGAGGATGCAAAAGGGGCACTTGCCTCCCTGAAGCCACACCAATACTGGCCCCCTGGCCCAAGCTGCACCAGTGATCCCACCCTCTCCCACCGCAGTGAAACACGTGTTTGCACCCCCAAGATGCTTGAAGTGTAGCCATTATGGGATAATGGAAAGGGGAAGTGGACAAAAATAATGTGGACATAAAAATTTTTACTTTTGTTTAAAATCGAGCATGTATGGCAATCTGTGGTTCTTGCACAATTTACAAGGTATTTTGATGTGCATATTATGCTGTCGCTATAGTGACTATTATTTGTTCATGGTTGAACTAGGCAAAAGCATAAACTATCAAATATGGCATCTTGCATATAAAACCCATTTGGTAATTGTAGGAGCTTTATTACATATGAGGCCATGTTAGTGCAGTTTTCAGTATTTTTATTAGCCTTTTTTTTTAGTATCACATATGACTTCGTCAGTTTGAAGTGCTGGACCAAGACAGGCCTTTGTAGTATTAATGTTGTGAAGTTCTGTTTTGTATTGCAAACATTTTTTAATGCTGTTAGTAATAACTTAGTGATAAAGGCTGGACATGTCTGGCATAAATGTGGTGTTTGCATGTGTGTATGTGTGCTTGCATGTGTGTGTGTGAGAGAGAGAGAGAGAGAAATTATTAGGGTAATATTACTAACTATAGCATTTTTAAAATATTATACTAGTAAAATAGTCCTTCTGAAGATTCATCTCTGTATTCTTGGAAAAATACTGCTACAGGACCTTGAATGCCCATGGATTTTTGCCTGTCAGACCTTTACAAACCCTGTGTAGGTATTTTAAATTATTTTTATTTTTGCAGGTCATGACATTGTGTAATTTTATAAATTTACATTAATTTTGCAAAGCTCTGTGTTTACAGTTTAGTGGGCTTCGAATGCAAGAATTTTCTTATTTGTGCATTGTGCATCATTCTTTTGCAGTGGGCATTATGAAATGGCTACTCCTATGAAACATATTGCAAAATGGCAATGCAGCCCTGAAGTAGTGTTGCTGAAGGGTAATCCTGTACCTGTTTGTTTGCCTTACAGCCCTGTCATGTGAGGACTTCCAGACATGTAGCGCCTGTCAGGAGCATGAGCGATGTGGCTGGTGTGATGATGGCAGCAATACAGGCAAGGGCCAGTGCCTGGAAGGCTCAGCTTCGGGACCATTGTCCCCTGTGGGTTCTGTGTACCGACTTAATAGCAGCCTCTGCCCTGCTCCAAATTGGTACTTCACTGACTGCCCCAGTAAGTTTCTCAGACTGGTGTTTTCAGGAAATGATTTTAGTCATTCGTAAGAGAATCATTTGGGTGCAGGTAAAATGTTGTCGATATATAACGGCCAGGAATACAGCATAAATATGTGCTCAATGGTAGGAGGCAGTAAGTGCAAATTTTGCATCTCCTGACCTCTACGAACAAATAAATATATGCACAGCCACAGTAAACGTTGCCTTAATGTACAAACTAGAAGGTCTTTTCATTCTGTCGCAAAAAAAATTCCGGCTTTCACGCATGGCTGTACAATACCGTAAAAGACCGCATATACCGTATAAACGCGTGTAAGGGCCGCACTTTTTTTTTCAAGAAATGAGGGCCAATTTTCAGGGTGCGGCCCATACACGCAACGTGCAATTTTTTTTTGAAGCAAAAGAAAAAAACGTACCAGCTAGCGAACGAAGAACGTTTATTGCAGCATACTGCATATGTGCTTAATCGTCGTCGCTCAACGAGTCCTCAGACTCGGTGTCCAAGATGGTGTGTTGCGGAGCACCGTCCTCCCACAAGCAGTCATCTTCCGCGCCATCCAAGCTGTTTGATATACCGGTGACTTTAAAGCTTCGGGTCACAACGTCCGTCGAGACTGAGTTCCACGCCGACAGTACCCAACCGAGAACAGCCGCAAGCGGTGCCCTCTTCAGCCGTCCGGTCGGCGTCTGCTCGTGGCTGCCGCTTGCCATCCATTCTGTGTAGAGCCTTCTGAATTCCACCTTAAAAGGTCGATTAACGCTGACGTCCAAAGGCTGCAGCATTCCAGTGAGGCCGCCCGGAATCACGGCCATGTCTGTGCCGACACGGCGCAGCTTCACCTTATCGGTAAGGTGACCGCGGAAACTGTCTAATACTAAAAGTGACCGTTTGGCTAACAGCGCTCCTGGTCGGTTTTGCCAAACACACTTCACCCAGTCGAGCACCAAGTCATCGTTCATCCACCCCTTTTCTTGGGCTCGAACTATGACTCCCTTGGGGAACACCTCGTTCGGAATTCTTTTTCTTTTCAATACGACGTACGGGGGTAGCTTCCGCCCGTCCGCGGTCACACAAAGCATCACTGTGCAGCGTTGGCGCTCAGTGCCGGTGGTCCGCACGGCGACGCTCTTTTTGCCTTTCAGTTCGACTGTGTAGTTTTCCGGGCAGTCAAACCACACAGGAGTTTGATCTGCGTTCCCTATTTGCGACTGTAGATAATTATGTTGATGGCGAAGGCCGATGACATGCTTCTGAAAACTAAGCACCTTATCGGTGTAGTCCTCTGGCAGCCGCTGGCACAACGTGGTCCTTCGCCGAAAGGAGAGATCCTTCCTTTTCAGGAATCGTCGCACACCAGCCAGCGCTAGCCTTGAAAGTCCCGGCTGTATATTCTTCGCACGTGCCAAGGCTAGTGCCTTCACGCGCAGCATGTCTGTAGTTAGTGCATATCCATCGTTCCGCACTTCTGTCACGTAGCGGAACAACTCTTCTTCTAGTTCCGGAACTTGCATGGCTTTCCTCGGAAAGCGCGCTTTTTGCTGTTCGTGTTTTCCAGAGCTTCCTTTGTGCGCACCATCTTCGAACACACTTTTCGTCGACGTCGAATTTTCTGCCGGCGGCACGTTTCCCGTGCTCGAGCGCAAACTCGACCACCTTTAACTTGTAGCCAGCCGTGTAGCTATTCAGGTGCTTGCCCATCGTGCTACAACGTGAACGCTCGGCGGAAGACAAGCACGAGAGACAATACGACGTGCACAACTCCTACAAATGGCCGGCTGAACTGCACAAGTTGGTGATGCTGATGCCGATATCGAGAGCGCGTTTGTATAGTGGTGCGAGGCACGAAGGATAAAATCCTGGTTTAACCTTTAGGTAACGAGCGTATGAACACTAATCAAATAGTTGAAATATTTAGCAAACTTTATGAACACCTTAGCACGAAGAAAGTTAAACAAAATATACTAGTGATGCACCTGTAAACCGCTGTAAACTTTGATAGTGATGATGATGGTTGCGTTTTTTCGCGCCATCTATTGACGACGTTCAAAAGCTCGCATGCACGCGCGCATTTTTGAATACGTGTGGGTTAATGAAAGTGTGGGTGCGGCCCTTACGCGAATTTTTTTTTTTTCGAATATGTGCGTCATAAAAACGGGGTGCGGCCCGTACACGGGTGCGGCCCTTACACGCGTTTATACGGTAGCTTGGACCCGCATATAGTCCGAGGTGTAATTTTGGGGATAGAAAACGCGACAAAAAAGTTTTCACCCGAATATAGCCTGAGTAAAACAGGAAAATGCATTTACACTCAAATCTTATTATAGCGTAATAGAATATAACGAAATAACAGATACAGTGAAAGCTCGTTAATTCACACCTCATTAATTCGAAATTTTGGATAATTCGAAATGGTCGCCGCAGTCCGGTCCGCAGTGCATAGGAGACCATGTGTAAAACGATTCGTTAATTCGAGCAGGAATTGCTGCCTCTACGGATAATTCGAAGCGCGCGCCGCCGAGCGTCATCATCGTCAAACACTAGTGGAAGCTTTTGCGGTCGAACGATAGGTGGCACGACCAGTTTTTTCGAGCTTCAAGTGGTCTCCGAGCAAAGGGCGAGCAAAGTATAGGGAGCAATTTTTTTTTTTTTTTTTTCCGTAGCCGTCTCACTATCTCAGTGCCTGGCGCCACTTGTACGCGGGACCCACGGGACGCTGAGGAGTCGGCGGAGTAGTCCTAGCAGTCCTAGGCCACTCCCGGCAGCGTCACTTTGTTCCTCGAGCACGTTGTTCGTTCACGTCGTCAAGCCATCTTATTCCGCATCGAAGTTGCAAGATGCCGCGGGGAAACTACTGCGCGAACACTGTCAATTAGAAGGTGGAGATTTTGCGAAAGGTTGACCAAGGGAACTCGAGCAAATACAAAATTGCGAGGAAGCACGGCATACCTTCGAGCACGTTGTCAACCTACATACGCAACAGGACGGCCATTGAAAACGCCTATGTAGCCGAAGATTTTGACGCCAGTCGAAAAACGCTAAGGACAGCGAAGTTCCCGGAACTGGAGTCAGCTTTGATTATCTGGGTTAAAGAAATGAGAGCCCAGAGTATCGCATTGAGCGGCCCTATCATCGTGGCCAAGGCAGCCGATTTCGCCCTGCGCTTGGACATTGAAGACTTTGTTGCCTCCAAGGGATGGTTTCATCGTTTCAGGGAGCGGCACAATCTCGTATTCCGCACGTTATCCGGCGAGGCAAAGGAAGTGGACGCCGAAACATGCGCTACTTGGAGAAGCGACACCCTGCAGCAGTACTTGGAGAGCTACTCACCACAGGATGTGTTTAACGCTGACGAGACAGCGTTATTTTTCAAGTTGCAGCCAGACAAGACGATCACCTACAAAGGAGACAGCTGTGCCGGCGGCAAGCGCAGCAAAGAGCGTGTCACTGTTCTGGTCGCCGCAAATATGACCGGCACGGAAAAGGTCCCCCTTTTTGTGATTGGCAAAGCACTCAAGCCACGGTGCTTCAAAAGCATTCGCTCACTGCCGACGGAGTACGCCGCAAACAAGAAAGCCTGGATGACAGGTGACCTATTCAGGAAGTGGCTACTGAAATTCGACAGGCGAATGGAACTGGGCGGCAGACGCGTTCTTCTTGTCGTCGACAACTGTTCGGCACACAAAGTCGACGTTGAGCTGAGAGCAACTAAGTTGGTGTTCCTTCCGGCAAATACGACTGCGGCCCTACAGCCAATGGACCAGGGTGTGATAAGGAACATTAAGTGCTTTTATAGGCGTCACTTGCTGGAGAGAATGATTTTGTGCGCGGGCGACAGGAAGGACTTCGGCATTACGCTGCTCACTGCCATGCACATGTTGGTGCGCGCATGGGAACAGGTGACCACGACCACAATCGCAAACTGTTTCCGCCACAGTGGATTTGCAGCTGGAAGTGCGCAGGATAGTTGTGACGTCGACGTGGATGGGGCTGAGGAGCTCATGCCAGTGGCATTGCGCGACACTCTTCGGGGCGTACGTTTTGCCGATTATGTTGAAGTTGACACCGGTTCATCGGTGTGTGGTGCCCTGACTGATGAGGACATTATCGCTTAAGTAGCCGGTGCGCAGCCTGATGCTGAAGAGCCAGAAGGTGAGGAAGACGAAAATGACGAAGCGCCTGTGCGCCCGTCAGATTCTGCGGTGATGGAGGCACTTAGTGTGGCGCGTCTCTTCTTCAGCTTTGAAGAGGGTGAAGAGGATTCCCTGCGCCGCGTCCGCGCGCTGGAACAGGGTGCCGCAGCTGTGGCATTCAGAGAAAAGAAGCAGATGGTCATCACCGACCTTTTTGGCCAATAAATATTTTTCGTGCCCCCACCACCGAAATCCACCCATTTTTGCTCACTTTCATTATTTCGAATTTTGTTTAATTCGAAATTGCTCAGCGTTCCCGTGGAATTCGAATTAACGAGCTTTTACTGTATAACGAAGTCAATGAAATTCCCCTTGAAAGCTCCATTGAGAACCATGCATTTTAATCCACGTAACGAAGTAAAATTGACCGGTAAATGGATATAACAAACTAATTTAGTCTATCAAGAAAAAGAACTGACCACAGTGCGTTAAGTATATCGTTTTGTACAAAGTTTGATGCTCGTTCGACGCAGCTCTTTCAAAACTCCTGTGCCGACCTTGCAGCCATGCTACGCGCGGCCGAGAGCGCCGCCCGCCTCGCACAGCCAGCGGAGAGGATAGAGCAAGCGCTCCGGCGGGTTACATGACCAAAAAGCGGCGCAAGGTGCAAGGCGATTTCCCTCACACATAACCAGTTCGCGCCTGGCCTGGCTCCATCTTGTGCTGCAGTAGGCGAAGCGGCTCACTCTAGTGAGCAGTTCTGAGTGGTTCAGCTCATCAAAGTGAACCAGCTCAATTAAACGGCTCATAGGTTCACCACTGGTCGGTTACTCCGCGTACCTCCCTTAAGAGTCACTTATTGATGAC